AAAAAAAAAATCTTTAAAACGTTTTGCTGCGTGTCTGCGTGGTCACGGGGGGAGGGAGGGAGGCGCCGGGTTTGGGGCTCGCAGCATCTCCCCAGGAGCTGCCTAAAGACAACCGAAGGTCTTTATTCATCTCCTATGTACAAATCGCAGCGCCGCGGCCCAAAGCAGAGCGCGAACACGGGACAGAGCAGCGGATACATTCAGTGCGGCGCCGGGGGGAGGAGGGGGGGCGGCCCCAGCTCCGCTCGGGGGTGGCGCGGTGCAGCGCCTCACACTTTTGGAAAGGGGCGAAGTCCGACAGCGAGCGCCATTCCTGTACGTACAGCAGCCGCCCGGCGCTGAGCCACGCGGGGCTCCTCTCCGTGCGGAACGGCTCACGGCTGCCGACGGGGAGAGAAACCGCAGAGCAGCGGCGGGGAGAGGCGCCGTGAAGCCGCGCTGGGGCCGGGCGCCGCAGCCCCGCACGCCGAATAACGCGCGGACCCATCGGGCTCGCTTTTTCCGCCTTTTCTCGCTTTTTCCGCCGTGGTTTTCGTTGCGTTATTTCGGTACTGGCCGTACTGAGCCGCCCCGCGTGGAGATCCCGACTGCGGCCCGCGCTGCGGCTGCCGGGCATCACCGCAGCGGAACATCCCACCCCGCGGGCTCCCGCGACGTCCCCGTAGCGCCGAACCGGAGCTCCGCGGCTCCGCTCCGACCCCACCGCCATCGTCCGTCCCGCGGCGCTCAGCCCCCCCCAGCGGCGCCGCTCACCTCCGCGCTCCCTGCAGGCGGAGAAGCGCCGACGCTCAGCACGGCCGCGGGTGGGGGACGAAGGGGCGGCCGCAGCCCTGCGGCGGTGGGGTTCGGTGCGGCGCTTCTGGGCTCCGTCGGGCTCCGAGCCGAAGGCGGGCGCGGTGCAGCGCCGTGGCCCCGCGGCGGCACTATGTGTAGAAGATGATCTCTGGGATCTGTCCGTCCTCCACCGAAGTGCCGTTGTTGTTCCCGGCCGCGTAGCAGAAGGTGAAGCAGGTCTTGGCGCCGCTGGTGGGCGATTCGTGAATCACCTTGCGCAGCCCTTTGGTGCCGTAGTGAGAATCGGGGCCCTGCGGGGACGCGGGGCGGCTCAGGCACAGCGCGTGGCTCCGTGCTCCCTCCCTCCCCCTCTGCCCTGCGTGCGGCCCCTCAGCCCCACCGCCCCCCCACGTACCTTCAGAGTAGCGCACGCCGTGTAGTTGACGTTGGGCAGAACCTCCACGGGCTCCTTGAACATCACACGGAACGTGTTGGAGGAGCCGTCGCAGCTGAAGCCCGTGTCGTTCTGCCCCAGCACCGTGTTACTGTCCGTGTGGATGATCTGCAAGAGACGCAACGGCTTTCCACCCGTCTGACAGCCGCGGGCACGGATCCCCACCCCCAGGGATCCGCTCCCCACCGCGCTCCCCCCCCACATCCCAGCCACGTACCTGGATGTTCACCTGGTAGTCTGTGGGGCCGTGAATGGAGCCGTACAACCCAAAGCCAACCACGAAGATGCGTTTGTTCACCGAGAACCTGCAGGGGCAGACAGCCGTGCTCAGAGCGCCGCTGCAGCGCCGACACGTCGCCAACGCCACCCCTGCTGCCGCCCAGCACCCACAGCTGGAATCCTCTGCTGAGATCCTGACCCGTAAAGCTGGCTGTGCTACGGCCCCGCTCTCGTTTGGTTTCACGTGGGGGAAGCAGAGCTGCGCCGCCCCATCGCTGAGCCCCACAGCGCACCGAGTTGGGGGGCTGCAGGACGACCAGGCGCCAGCAGCAGCTCCCAGTGCTGCTCTCACAGAGCTGCTCTGAGAACCCACTGCACACAGGAAAGGGGAATCGGGGCAAATTGCTCCACAGTGCAGCACGGCAGGCTTCCCCCGGCCCAGCACAGTGCTGGAAGGACACGGGGGCAAAGCTGGGCTGGAAGGACGCACGCCTGCCCCGCTGCTGTGCCCCAGCCCGGCTCCATACAGCCACGGCTCACAGCAGCGCCACGCACGGCTCACACGGCTGCACGGAGGCAGCGGTGAAAAGGCGCCGTGCCTGCAGGACTGCGCCAGCGCCACTTCCCTGCCCTGCACCCAGCGCCACCCCACAGCACCGCGGCTTCCCGGCCGCCTCCCGCCCGCTCCAGCCGCAGCCCGGCCCGGCTGCACGCGGCTGCTCCTCCCCCGGCCCGGCCCTGCGCCGTCAGCAGCAAAGCGGGCGGCAAAGCCCCTCATCCGGCCCTCAGCAATCAGCGGCACCGCTGAGCCCCGACCGCCTCGCTGCCCCGCGGCTACGAGAGCCGCCCCAGCGGCGCACTGGACGCAGCGCTGGCACTCAGGAGCAAGCAGCAGCCTGCAGCTGCGCGCACAGCAGAACGCGGCCGCTCTCCCCCGCGGCCGGCAGCAGGGCCTGGCACGCTGCCCTGCGGCACGGGGAAGAAAGCTCGGGAAACACGAATCTATCGGCAGCAGAACGAGCAGAGAAGCTGACCTTATCCTGTCACTAGTCCCACTGTACCCCCAGCGGCTCTCCACCTGCTGGAATCGGCTGATGCTGCACTCCTTCCCCCGCAGGCAGCAGCGCGGCCGGTCGATGAACTCCACGCGCGGTTTGGGGTTCACGGTGAAGTGCAGGAACAGGCTGACCACCTCCCGGTCCGTCAGGATCCCCGACTGGGCCGGCCCTGCAGGGAGCAGCACGGTGAGCCCAGGGCTGCCAGCACACGGCGCTGGGAAACACAGCATCACTGCTGCAGGGCTGTGAGCTCCCAGGGAACAGCAGCACCTCTGCGCCGCGCCTGGAGAAGAGCAGCTGTGGCAGCGGCTCCCCGTGCCTTCACACGGGAAATGGGCAGAAATCAGTGCTGCAGCTCCTCCAGCAGAAGCTGCTCTGCTTCTCTGTGTGCAGAGAGGCTCTCACAGAGCAGAGGGTTGGAGATGTGGGATGCAGGAGCTGCGTGGAGCAGAGGAACGGCCGGAGGCACAGAGCTGACGGAGCAATGAGCGCGAGGGGATTTTGCTTAGCAAGAATGAACCATCGTTAATCACAGCTGAAATGACCCCGTGCAACACACAGCTCTGGGCCCCACAGCTGCTGACACAGCACTGCTGGGAGGAGAGCTGGGGGTTCCCCCCCCTGAGCTCTGCTGCGCTCTGCCTGGAAGAGCCGGAGCCACTGGGGTGCTGCAGGCATGGCTGGGGGGGGGGGGGCAGGGGTAACTCACTGCACCTCCACTTGGGTTCAGTGTTCTGGAGTTTTTTTTGCTCATCTTTTGGGTTAAAGAGGATGGAAAAAGCTCGTGGGGTTGCTCAGAAAGGAGAAATGCTCTGGGACAGAACTCAGCACCACCAGCTGGAGGAATGCTGACGGCCCTCCTGGGGGCTGGGCTCTGTGTGGCACCGGCTGGATGAGGCCAGCAGTGAACAGAAGGGAGCCTGGAGCGCAGCGTGGGACAGGCAGGCACCCAGCTCACCTGGCAGAGCGCTGACACCTCCACCAGAGCACAGGAGCACGGGGTGGGGGGACGGGGGGAGGAAGAGGACAAACGCAGTAATTTCTGAAGCCAAAGATAACAGAGCAGCCTCCGGCTGAAATTCACAAGGAGTGCAATTTGGTGTGACAGCCGGGACGGTTACCTGCTGCAAACTCCTCAATCGTCATCAGTGGGAAGCGGATGAGCGCCAGCGCTTTGCCCAGCACCTTCCTCTTGTTCTCAGGCACCACCTGCAGCTGCTGCCTCTGACACTCAGCCTCCGACCAGCGAACCACGGCTCCGAACAAACGAACCTCCCGGATGCCCAGCGTGTCGCGCTCCAGCACGGCCACCAGCGTGTCTGCAGGGACACAGGGCACAGCCAGCACTGCCCCTCCGTTCTGTGTGCTGGCTGCAGGAGGAGCTGCAGTGTAACTCGGGTGGCATAAAAGCCCCCTGCCTCACACCCTGTGTGCCGTCCCCTCAGAAGGAAGGTTGACGACCGAGCGTCAGCGCCTACGAGCAGCGAGCTGGGCTGCTGGGTAGGATAATTAAGAGAACCAGTTCTTGCTTCTACAACAACACCTCTGTAACTCCAGAGCCTGAGGAAGGCTGGGGAATGCTGCCAGCTCAGCAGGGGAAGGCATGCTAGGCCCAGCCCAAACCTGCCGGCGGCAGCACAGCACGCAGCCGCTGTGTGGTGCCCACAGAAATTCAGCTGCACGAAGCCAGCAGCTCCAATGCATTTCTGCTCTGCAGCCGCTTTGTGCAGCCTCCCTCAGATCGACCCGGAGCAGATGGAAGCCCAGGTGCCCATGGGCAGGAGCACGGCGCACGGGCAGCCCGCAGGGGAGGGATCATGCTCACCGAGGTCGATGTCAGTGAAGCCCTCTGCGTTGATGGCATCGGACGTGTTCTTGTCGATGTTCTCCAGGCACAGGCTGGCCAGCTGAGGCTCATCAAACAGCCTCGCCTGGTCGTGAAGAAGCACTCATGAACACACAGGGCTCTTTACAAGTTGATGCCAAGCGCTGGCGCTGCCCCCCTCCCCACACCCCATCCTCATTGGCGCTGCTGTGCCTGACCACAGCAGTCTGTCAGGCGTTGAACGCAGCAAGGCAAAGGCCAGAACACAGATCTGCACGGGGCACGGCTCTGCTCCAGCTGTGCACGACCCCAGGCACACATTTCCTCCTACACACAGCACCATGCTGAGCACCCAGCTGAACGAGGCTGATTTTCTCACATGGTTTTTGTTCTTTGGACGTGGCTCTGCACGACGGCTCCACTTGCTGTAAGGATGCACACAGGTGGCTCCTGGTGCAGCAACGCAGCCAGGCCGACACCGTGCAGCAGCAGAACACCCCAAGGTGTGCAGTGCTCCATCCTGCTAAAGGGGAAACTGCTCCACCTCACACCTGGTGCCACAGAGTGCTGCGATTCCACCTCAATGCCAACACTGAGGTCCACCTGCCCGCCCCACGTGCGGCTGCAGGGCTCAGGAGAGCACAGGGACTGCGTGTGCAAAGAGCCAACGCTGTGCTCACTGCTCTCATGGATCAGGGAAGTGCCAGCAGTGGGGTGCTGATATCTGAGAGGAAGGACACGCACTGCATCCAGAGCTCTGCCCCGTACCTTCCTTGCTGATTGCACATCACACCTGCATGCACTTTTGGCACAAGAGAGCACCGCCGCTCACTCACTGTGAGCACCAGGAAAAGCTGTCTGCCATGCACTTCTGGCAGGGATCGGATGCTGCCTGAAATGCTGCGTCAGAGCAGCAGCACTCAGCAGGGACACAACACAGAGCTGTGGGCTCTCAGGCTCCACCAGCTGCCTGCAGCCCTACGTGTGCTGGGAATCGCTGTGCGCTCAGATCTCAGGTCTTTAATTGACAGATTGGTGGCAGTAGAAGCAGGAACTAAAGGTGGCTTCCCACACCAAGGAGCAGATCTGGCTGTCTCCTGGTAACTGGCTCCAGCCCTCGTGCAGCCTAACACAGAGATGGGGGCATCTCCAACAATCCCACCCTTCAGCTTTTTGGAAACTTGGTGTGCTGCCACAGCAAGCAAACCACGCAGGAATCACAGTGATAATTGTAATGGCTGTGCTGTGAACTAACCCCAGAGCACAACAGGAAGCAGGGAAGCCTGTCTGCATCCAGCACCAGCAGTGTCTGAAAACCCAGGACACCTCCTTTAGCTGAAGGACCTTTGAGACTTGGAAAGAAGTCGCTGCAGCCCGACGTGCTGCCTTGCCAAAGCTGCAGGGTGGCAGATACTCCCCAGGCCACCAGAAGTTCCCACTTCCAGCTTCCACAAGCTGAGGGACAGCACACGATGTCTCTCCACAGCCGGGGTCTGCAGGGAAGATCTCTGCTTTTGGATAACAGCTCCTGATCTCTCAGATTCTGGGCTGCTGAACCTGAGGAGCACAACCACTACAGCCAGGGAGGTACAAGCACGCTGCTGTGACACAGATGGGAAAGCAGCCTTGGCTGCCATCACCCCTGCAAGGACCCTAAGGCCTCTGCCCTGAACAGCCTGCTGTCCTGTGCTGCTCCTTACACAAACCTGCTCAGCACCGTGCTGCTGTGAGGAAGGCTGCAAAGCACACCAGCACAGAACAGCTCTCTTTGGGATGGTAACACTCACTGAACTCGTTCTCCTGTTCCAACGGATTCGTGCCAACAGTGGCAACCTCACCTGTGTCAGCAGCATGAAGGCGTTGTCTGCTCGGAGGTTCTTCTTCAGGAACTCCACACAGTGAGCTTCCAGGGCTGGCACTGCGTACTTCTTAGCTGTGTAAAGGGTCGTCATAACAGTCTCTGGTCCGATCTGAACTTCATCTGAGTAAAGAAACCTGGAAGCAGGCAGACAAGCATCACTCAGCGAGGTATCAGAGCAGCCCTGCAATTCATTCAAGCCATTCTGTGTCTCTGCCTACCATCCTGGAGCTCCCCTTTCGTTGATGGATGTGGGGAAGGACAGGATGCAGAAGCAGAGGGAAGATGGAGAGGGTGACCCCAGACAAGGAAAATGGTCATTGGGGTTGAATTGATCACTGATCATTGATTTGATGGGGTTGAACTGATCAGTCCTGGCAGGGAACAGCCTGATTTTGCCTCTCTTTTGATATTCTAGCCTCACCAAGCCTTAAAGGCAGATGGTAACTCTGTGCTCCAGAGACACAACGTGCTGCTGTGGAGCCATGTGCCAGCTGAGGGGATTCCCCACGTGTCTGAACTGATGTGAGCCCAAGGCAGGGGGCTGCAGGGCTGTTATTTCTGGCCTTTCATTCTATGGAGATCGATTCTCAAACCTTCTAGGACAGCACAGTCCTGACCAAAGCACTTTTTGAAGGTAAAGTGGGACGTGTGCCAAAGCTAGATATAGGTATTGTTCCTAATGGGGAGCAAGCAGGGAACGTGTCAGGAGCATCAGATTGAAAGCCAGAACTCGGTGACAGAAACCCTACAGAGATGATGCAGTGACATCCCAGCACACATCCAGGGCTGCTGCACTGCACACAGCACCAGCCGAGCTCAAAGCCACTGTGAATGGGATGTCACAGCTCCTTCCTCCTCCTCCTCCCAGCACACAGACCAACAACACATGCTGGGAAGGTGAAAGAGCAGGAAGGCGTGCTTATTTAATGGCTGCTACACCTCCAGATGAAGCCAGGCAGATATTTCTGGGCATCAGCTAGACCAGATGTCACCCAGAAAAAGAGGGATTTAGCAGCAGCGTTTCAAGCCCTCAGATGGATTGGCAGAGAGGTTTATTTGGAACGTACGACCTCCACTTCACAGAATGGCTCACTGCTTTCATTGGAAGCTCTCCTCTCTACAGTCCATCGGCTCATCCCGGTGCGTTAGCAGCTTACTTCAGCAGAGCCAGGAAGGCAGCAGGCTCCACGTCGGGCAGCTCGATCTCTGTGGAAGTCGTGGCCATCCCACCATTGAACATGGCATCGAAGACGGCGCTGCCCACGGCCAGCACAAACCTAAAACCACCAAACAAACCAAAAAGCTGATGTTAAACCAGGCCCATCTGCACAGAAATCCCGGCCGGCTGCTGGTCCCCAGGGGCTCCCCAGGGAGGAGAGCTGCTCACAGCATCAGGTGCTTTGCAAGAGAAGGGAGAACGGTTTTCTTTCATTTAAGGAGAAAACACCAAGGTCGCAAACGACCTCAGCCTGAGCCCTGCACACAGCATCCAAAGGTCCACAAGGTTTTGTGCACCGTGGAGCAGAACACGTGCAGCTGCTCTGCACAGCCCTGAAAGTCGGAAGCAAGCGTTCCCACAAACCAGGTTTGGTGCTGAAAAGAACCCGGTGTGAACACAGTGCCATCCCTCACCAACGACTGCCAGCTCCTGCTGCAGGGGCAGGCACACAGCTGGGCTGCTCAGGGCTGGCTGTGGTTATTTAAACCACTGCCAAGCACTTCCGAGAGCTTCCACTGCTGGAAACCCAGAGATGGGCATCTCCAGGGAAGCACCCGGGTCCTGGTGGCCGTGCCCTGAAGCCTGTCCACGAAGCCAAGCCCTTGAGCAGCCCCTGCCCGGCCACCAGCCGTGGGAAAACAGACTCCAACTGCTTCTCTGACCCATGAGGGAAAGGAAAAAGCAGAGGGCAAGCACAGCAGCAGAGCTGGGTGCACGCTTCGATGGAGAGAGGTATCAACGACTGCGGGCAGCAGGCGGTACGTGACAGAAGGCACGAGGCACGGCGCTCCGGTCCCGGCTCCCAGGAAGCCCATTGCCACCAGGGAGCTGTGGTTGGAGTTTACTGCGGTAGGAAGTGACACAGCAGCTTTTTTCCCTCCTCAATTTACACCCGATTTCTCGTCTGGTCCCTTTCTGCTCTCCCCCCCATGCAGAGGGCTCCCACAGTGGCAGCGCTGTGCGGGTGCCAGGCGGCATGGCTTCTGTTGGGAAGGAGAGCTGGGGACAAAGCGTGGCGGGTAGAAAAGCACAACAGGCACGTGTGGATTTGTGTCCTGCAGTTCTGAAGGAAAAGGGCCAGAACAAGCAAAAGAACCTTGCTCACAACGCCCGGAGTGCCAGATGAAACAGAAATCCTTTGTGCAGAAGCAGCGACGGCGGTGAGACAGTTGCAGGCATGACTTTCTACTAACAATTAACAGAAACTAATTGCACTCTAAGTTTGTCATTCTCATAGGCAGCAGAGAGCTGTCAGCAGCGATCTGAAAGGGGAGCTTGTATGAAAGAAGCTCTCCAATCTCTGCTCCCATTCCACTCCTGGACAGGTCAGTCCAATCTGTTTCACGCTGCTGAACCCGAATGGGTCGGTGCCAGAAAGACACACAGAGCTCCAAACTCTGCAAGAGCAGAGATCTTTCAGCTTCCTTGAAGCATGAGAGGGACACAAGGTAAGAAAAGCCCTCTATTCAGAGCATCTCTTTCACCTTGCCAGGGACGAGCACCCACCTCAGCTCCGTGCCCACAGCCCTGCTCCCTCCCTCAGCACCACGGTAACACCGACAGCAGAACTCAGAGCCACGACGACCCACTGCTGCAGAGAAATCCCAAAATATCCATTTCTGAAGAGCTGACACAGGAACAGAGTGACACACGTGTCACTGAGCTCTGTGCAATCCCTGAGTGGGATGCCACGGCTCTATTCTACCTTCACCACTCAGAGGGATCACACAGCAATTAAGCAGCGTTTCGCTTTGGGGTTGTTTCTTTTTTTTCCCCCCTCCTCTCCTTCAGCTTCACTTATTTTCCACTTACCCAGGTGGGCCCCTGCCCACCTACTGAGCCTGGTTCTCAGGGCAGGAGTGAGCAGATTCAGACACTAATTAAGCTCCAAATTAGAGAAGTGCAGAGCTGACGCCCTCAACGCTCCAGCTGGCCCAGAACAAACATGCTTTGCACAGCCAGGGAGGAAAAAGGGAAACCTGAAGGAGAAAATTCTAGGTGCACGAGCACATATGAGGAAAGGGGCGGCCTGAGAGCCTTCCCCAGCCCCCAAAGGACAGATCCTGCCCTCAAAGCAAAAGTGTTTGCACACCTGAGCAAAGCGTGAGGCGCTTCCCGCAGCGCTGGGCAGTGATATGCATCAATTCCTGGTTAGAACTGAAAGGAGCTGCCCTGAGAAGCAGCTGCACAGCCATCAGCATCGTGCAGTGGGGGACAATCCCCTCTTCCCAGCATTAATGCTACCAGACAGGTCACCCCCTGCCCAGGGAACGTCCTCCTTCAGAACCACAGGTTTGTTTCTCCAGATGTTCAGCTCTGGCTGCTTTTAAACCCCAATTTCTCCCATGGCTGCTCTCATCAATCCTCTGCACCCATCAGGAATGCTGCTCCTGGCAGACAACTGCAGGGTGAGCTGCCCTGATCCTTGCCTATGGGTTGGGGGGTCTCTACAAAGCCCCCCCCAGAGCAGTTTTGGGGGTGAAGGGGGAGTTCTGAGGGGTAAGGAACAATTAATTCAGAGGTAAAGGAGTGGTTTGGGGGGAGAGGGTGGTCTGGAGGGATGCAGACAGCTTGGGGACAACAGGGACAGCTAGGGGGTGCAAGGGGGTGACCCCTCCTCCTACCAAATGGGATTGAATCCAACCCCATCCCATAGGGTGGTGTGAACACCCCACTCCAAAAGCAGGCTGTGCCCCACAGGCCCTGCCTGTCCCCCCCCACTCAGCTGGGACTCCCTCAGAGCCTCGTATCCCCCAGACCCAGCTTAGCCCAGGCCAGGGGCACCACCACAGTCCACCCATAGCCCGCCCCACACTCACAGAGCCTACACAACCCCCCTCCCCAAACCATATTGTGCCCCCCAGGCCTTCATCCCACCCCATACCCCTCTGGGACCCTTCAGAGCCACACATCCCCAGCCCACAGTTCCCCCAAACCATGCTGGGACACCAGGGTCTCCCTCAGGACCTCACATCCCCCAGCCCCAGCACGGCCCCGTCCTGGTGGTCTACGTGAGGCCCT